CATCAGTGTGAGAAAAGATTTGGGAAACACAGGATTGTGAATTGAAATAGAGAATGCTAACATTATAGTGATGAAATCAATAGAAATCATGGGTGGAATTTTTCCAGTCCCTTAACAAGGTGAGCAACAGTGAGTGGATTCAGAAAATATGGCAAGATTGGAAAAATTAGTTTCTTGATGTCAAGAAAAAAAGTACGATTCTAACTGGATTTTGAACAGCAAGATGAGAATCTCGTAAGTGAACAGTGAGAGGCCTAGTTACATGCATTAACATCTCATTAGTACCTCATCTCATCTTGTAGATGTGCATTTTCCCACTCTCTCCTGCGCTAGAGAGAAACTAATAGGAAAAATCCCCAACACGATAGGGCGGATACTTGGCTACTTCAACTCACTGTTTGCTCCTCTAGAAGTCCATTTTGGACAGATCAGGGCAAGCTCCATGGGTAAACACAGCCCACCAACACCTCCACTAATCACCTCCCCCCGTCTCACCCTGGTCCACAGAGGTTGGTGTCAGACATGTACCAGCTCACTACATCACCATGGCACAGCTCTGACTTGTTAACAATACAGTTCCACACTTCAGTGCTGCACTGTGGAATGCATCAGCACCTTTCATCGTAACGCTGCTTCCAGGACACTTTGTGTGCAGGGACAAGCACCCGTCTTATGGTTCAGATCACATTACATCTCCAGGCTCCTCACTTGCTCTCTTAGTGTCCACTCACTTCATACCTATGTGAATAATCACAGCAGTTCTGCCTTGTCTTACCTTTCTTTTCATTGCCCCTCAGCCATAGCCAAAAGACTCACAGTCGTTCTATCTTGCCTTACTGTCCGGTGCAGACACAATGCACATCTTGTCATGGTTGTCATCAGTCAGCAGTCAAGTGGGTGGACATGTTGCAGTATAGCAGTGCGCCACACTAAAGTTATATCTGCACCGTGTGTCAACAAACACATTGTTTGTGCTTCACCCAAATGGCTATATCTCAAAGTTGTAAGGGGTGTAGTCATCTGTCAGGACAATGAAGTCAGCCTTTAGTCAGGTACTCCTGGCACTGTAATTCAAGGGCGTTATCCGATATGAGTCCAGGGGTTTGGACATGGTCAGTCAGTGCTTGGGGTGCTGTCAGGTCCAGGGATCTGTCCCTTTACAGGCCAGAGACAAGACTATGATCAGTGCTGCCAGTCTGGGGACATGTAGTATCAGAGTTGGAAGATGCACAGAAATCAGTCAATCAAATCAGTCAATTCATTACTACAGGCTGTCTCTCAAAATTGGTTGGGAGCTGGCGTTGGGTGTGAACAAGGAGCTGGGCCGCAGTCAGTGCTGGGAATCTGTTCATTGAAAGGTCAGGGCAATGAGTAGGGTTATCAGTGGCCTTTGCTGTGGTAAGGATGCTGGGGAATTCAATTGTTTGGGATAACAAGCAGCATACTGTGATACAGAGGGGATAATAATGGAGTAGGGGCAACTCAACATGTAAGAGGAAGATGGTAGAATGTGGGAAGGAATGGCATAATTGGGGGATGGTCATTGATGGATTGGTGGAGGACAGTGCACCTTCATGTCTGGCATGACAATGTGGCATCTTTAGGGTTCAGGGAGTAAAGTGGGGAGATGTGGAGAGAGATTACAGGAGAACCACAGTTATTCATCTTCAACCTTCAAGTGCAGCAGTTCACAAAAGAGCAAGGTCACTGCTCACTGAAACATTAATTCTGTTTTTACTCCACAGATGTTGCAGACCTGATGAGTTTCTCCAGAAATTTCTGCTTTTGTTTACAGATGTTACAATGTATTTAGAAGGAGAGATCACCCAGGCCCCTGAATTGCCCTTGAGAAAGTGTTGCTTTTTCAACTGTGCAGTCCATGTGCTCTAGGTAGACCCACAATATCCTTAAGGGTGGAATTCCAGGATTTTGATCCAGGGACAGTGAAGGAATGGAGATATATTTCCAGGTCAGGATGGTGAGTGACTTGAAGGGCAACTTGCAGGTGGTGGCGTTCCCATGCCTCTGCTACTTTTGTTCTTGTAGACGATAGAAGTTGTAGGTTCAGAATGTACTATCTAATGATCCTTGGTGAATTTCTGCCATGCACTTTATAGATGATACACACTGCTGCTGCTGAGCATTGGTGGTGGAGAGAGTGTCTGTTTGTGGATGTGGTGCCATTCAAGTAGGCTGCTTCAGGATTTCCAAGGGTTTTTGTGGGTTGAATGTGTACTTCATTCCCATGATAGAGAGGATAAAGGAGGCTATTCCTGATGCTACACCTTATTTGTCAGCAGGACTGCCTGCTGGGCATTGCAATATCTAACAGGATACAATCACATTCAGTGAGGCCCCTCATCCTTAATTCCTTGTAACATCATAATGGATTTTTCTTAAAATAGTACTTACATACATAAGAAGGAATAGGACATGAGTCCTTTGAGCCTGGTCCGCCATCCGGTATGATCTACATGATCTCCATACTCCCAGTCCCCATTTTGTCTTGTGGGCTAAGAATCTATAGGCAGCAAACTTTGTTGTGACTGGTAACCTTGATCAACTGGCAAAAATTATATTCCTCATATACTGTGATCTTCTGCAAATTCTGAGTATTTATGCTGCAAGTAAAGTATAAAAGTGATGTGTATATCCCCTGCATTACATTTCTCTTACTTACTGTGTGGTGTACATTGATTACAGGAGGTGTGTTGATGTTTTTACATTGATTTTTTAAGGGATATTAATGTCTTGTAGCTTTGCTTGGTCAGGGTTTACTGCAGTTATGTGTACCTCGTCGTTATCTGGAATATTTGCTCACTCCTGGTACCATAGGTGCCAGTTAATAAAACGTTTGCTGTACTGTAGTCTGGGCTAGACTCAGAGACTGAACAATCTTAGTCCTGTAGGGTAGAGAATTCCATAGAGTCACACAGCACAGAAACAGACCCTTCGATCTAACCAATCCCAAACTAAACTAGTCCCACCTCCCCGACCCAAATCGCTCAAAACATTTCTTACTCATGTACTTATGCAAATGTCTTTTAAATATTGTGCCCGCATCCACCAGTTCCTCTGGATGTTCAATCCGCACACGAGCCAATCTCTGTGTGAAAACATTGCCCCTCATTTTTTTTTAATCTTTCTCCTCTCACCTTAAAAATATGTCACCAGTCTTGAAATCCCCCACCCTAGGGAAAAGATACCTGCCATTCACCTATCTTATGCCTCTCATGATATTATAAACCTTTACAAACCTTTATAAGGTCACCCCTTCACCTCCTATGCTCCAATGAAAAAGGTCCCAGACCAATCAGCCTCTCCTTATAACTCAAACCCTCCATTCCAGACAACTTCCTGGTAAATCTCTTCTGAACCCTCTCCAGCTTAAAAGTATCCTTTCTATGACAGGGCAATCAGAATTGGACACAGCATTCCTGAAGAAGCCTCACCAATGTCTTGTACAACCTCAAAGATTAAACAATAACGCTTATGTGTAGTTCTCAAGGGCTAACCCACAGCCTAACTGACTTTATTCAATTCCACAACTTGTTATGCTGGTATTTTGAACCAATGATTTTCAGTGTTGATGGCCGGTACCTTATTTGCAGGGCTATTGGACCTGAGAGAAGAGGCTGCAGCAAATGCTCAACTCTATTTGTGGCATCACATACCTTGAATGATCAGGGAGCTGAAAAAACTACAGAGAAAGCCAACTGATAGGGAATGAATATTCCATTGAAATCGTAGGACAATAGGTGATTGGGAAGCCAGAAAACTAAGTAGGAATCAGAGAATGTCACAAGCCATGAATCTTTCTAAGTTCTTTTCAAGCCAAATAATTTGCAGCCCTAAATTAAACTACAGTATCTCCTTTACTGTCACCATTCATTTGATAATGCATACTATGATCGCATTAAGAAACATCCAGGATTTGGTCTCTGGTCACCTATAAGAGCTGTGAGGTTACAATGACTGAAGGCTAAGCAGCTAATGTTGTGTCACCACCGCAGAATAATAACCGCATTGTATTCACCAGGGAAAATGACAAACAGAAATTATTACGTGATTCTAAATCTAAGTTGCAGCAGACGTAAGGATATGTGCCACATGTTACGGGGTGAATATGTCGTGACTGGTCCATGCAGAAAATAAGTATCTGTGCTGGTAAAACTATCAACCAGGATCTGTGTACTTCTTCATCCCAGGCACCTTGCTGCATCTTAAGCAAAACCAAGTTGCTCTTTTTTAACCAAACCTGTCCTGCAACAACAACCTGCATTCATATAGTGCCCTCAAGATATGAAATCATCCCAACGTTTTTCATGGGGACATTATTGTACAACATATGACACTGAGATACAAAATGAGATATTGGAACGAAATTGATTTTAAAAATAGACTTTAAGGAGGCTACAGAAGACAGAGAGAGGTAGGGAGAGAAATCCAGAGCTTAGGATAAAGGCAGCTGAAAGCCCTGCCACAAATGACGAAGCAATGGAAATTGATTGTGTGGAGGAAGCCAGAATTGGAGGAATGCAGAGATCTTAAAGCTTGGAGGGGGTTATTGAGGCTGGGAAGGGAGAGAACATAGAGGAATGTCAAAACAAAGTGGGGAGTTTAAAACTTGAAACTTGCCTGAGACCTAAAGACTTTGGAATTCCTTACTTTGCTGAGTTTACCCTTACTCCTACAATGCGTAGGTTTTGAAAACATAAACTTAGTGTGATCTAATCCGCTCACTGCTCCCTGCTTTTTCTTGCCCCGCTTGTTATTCTATGGCACGTAGACAGTATTCTGCACCATTTGCTGCTTTCAATAAATTTTCTATTTTTCTCTCACACTTGGATATTGCAAATTTTCCTTATTCTCCATCTGATTGCTACTTAAAGGCCAATTTTCCCATAAAATGCTGATATATTCCCTAGAGGGAAAGACTGCTTCACTTCCGAAGAAATAAAAACAAAAATGACAGCAGTGAACTGGAAGATCTCACTTACCGGACAGACTGTTTTGGTATGCCTGGAACTGTTGGCTTAAAAGACTCTTCAAACCGATTGCATTAAGAAAGAAAACTGAAATCTGGAGCATTAAATAATTGGCTCTGTTGCACAATATCCAGAGGAAGTATGATGCAGTTTGAGGCTGTGCAGAGACAGAACACTCTGATAAAATCAAAATATTGTACTTGTGATGAAAGGGGGATTATTATATGAAGAAAAATGATTTTGAGTTTTAGAAGCTGTTGAGTTGAGATGAATCCTTTGCATTCTGAACAATAGATCCCATTGATATTTAGGGAATCATGGTTTATCACTGTTACATAGAACAGAAACAAAACTAGACCATTCAGCCTCTCGAGCTTATTACACAGTAGAGTTTGCTCATGACTGATTGGTATTTGAACCCCATTTGCTTGCTTTGGTTCCATATCGCTTGGTAACCTCAGCCTAGAGGCAATAGACTTTTAAAATCTTTGTCTCATCTAACAGTAACTTTTGGTTGCCTTTCTTCTCTCTTATTCTCTCCGATTCTCATGATAACTCTTGTTACGTTTTTTGATGTACCACTGAGGTATCTCAATGAAGCACAATGTAAGGGATGGAGAAATCGAGTAGGAAAATGGCACGGTATACTAGATGACTGTGGCAAGCATAGAGACTGTACGATCTCCTGAAACTGGTTTCAACCCCCTGAAGGATTGGAGAAGCATTTTCACCCCCTTTAATTTTAGTCATGTTTCTTTTCTGTTTTTAACCTCCTCAGAGATGGGACAAAAACAGACTTTGCTGGAAAAGGTCAGCAAGTCTGGCAGCATCTATGGAGAGAAATCAGAATTAACGTTTCAGGTCCAGCAACCCTTCCTCAGGACCAGTGGTAGCTAGGAAAAGATTGGTTTACAAGCAGAAGATAGGTCAAAGAATCCCTACAGTGTGGAAACAGGCCCTTTGGCCCAACAAGTCCACACCAACCCTCAGAGCATCCCACCCAGACCCATCCCCCTGTAACCCACCCAATCTACACATCCCTGAACACTAGGGGCAATTTAGCATGGCCAATCCACCTAACCTGCGTATCTTTGGACTGTGGGAGGAAACTGGAGAACCCGGAGGGAACCCATGCAGACACGGGGAGAATATGCAAACTCCACACAGACAGTTGCCTGAGGGTGGAATCGAACCCAGGTCCCTGGTGCTGTGAAGCAGCAGTGCTAACCACAGAGCCACTGTGCTGCCCCACACATGGTTATCAACACTAGGTGGGTAGGTAGAGGTGGTAAGGAGTAAATGATAGGTGGAGAATGAGCCCAAAGAGAAAGAACAGTTGGATAGACAAAGGAGTGATTAACGATCAACCTCGATATTGAATTCAACAATTTTGGGGCTAGCGGCACCTTCTCCCATGTCCTTATCCCAACCCCCACACACAGGCCTTGTTATCACATGGACTGCTATTACACACAACCCACTGTTAGCTACTAATCCTCCCCATTAGTAGCTATTCATTGTCCCAGGCAGATTGTTATCTGCTCCCCCATTTTCCAACACTTAGTCCATTGTCCTGTGTGCCTTGGCATTGCAAGTGCGCACCTAGATATTTCTCGAATGTGCTGAGAGCTTCTTCCTCTGCCACTCTCACAGGCAGCGAGTTCCAGAATTTGACTGGGTGAGAAACATTTCCTCACATTCCCTATAAACTTCCTGCCTCTTTCCTTAAATCCATGCCCCCGGTCATTGATCCCTCCACCAAAGGGAAATGTTTCTTCCCATCTACTCTATCCATGCCACTCATAATTTAATACATCTCAATCATAAACGCTTTCAATCTCCTCTACTCCAAGGATAACAATGCCTGTCTGACCAGTCTCTCCTCACGACTACAACTCTCCAGTCCAGGCAACGTTCTTCTTGTTTTGAAGAAGAGTCACATTGGACTTAAGCTGTTAACTCTGATTCTGCCTCCATAGATGCTGCCAGGCCTGCTGAGTTTCTCCAGCATCTCCTGTTTTTATTTCAAATTTCCAGCATTTGCAATATTTTGCTTGCATTAATAGTGGGGTCTTATTCATTGTTGGAGCATTGGTAAGGGTTCCTAGATGTACAGAATCACTCTGGTGAGTTATTGGAGGAACACAGTTGTTAAACAATGAACATCCAAGAGTTAGAAGCTAGAATTGCAGGAAACAGAAACTAAACAGAGAGATAAGGCAGATATATGAATGAGATAGCCACGAGAAAACTTCTTTCAACCATTTAATACCGAAGAGAGGTAAATCCAGAGAGTGCAAGCATGAATGATAATTGACTCCAGGCTATAAGCCATGAAAAGAATGAGATATAAAGAGAGAAGGAAAGATTGACACTATCTGGATCTAAAGAAGCAGCAACTACACTTATTGCACTGAACGTTCTGTGTAAGAATTTTTTTTCCCTTTATTCATTAACAGGATGAAGATGTTGCTGATCTAGGCAGCATTTATTGTCCATCGCTAATTGCCCATAGGGCAGTTCGGAGTCAACCACATTGCCGTGGTTCTGGAGTCCCATGTAGGCCAGACCAGGTAAGCATGGCAGTTTCCTTCCCTAAAGGACATTTGTGAACCAGGTGAGTTTTTCCGACAATCGATTCATGGTCATCATTAGATTCTTAATTCCAGATATTTTATTGAATTCAAATTCCACCATCTGCCCTGGTCCCCAGAATGTTATCGGGGTCTCTGGTTTAACAATCCAATGATAATACCACGAGGCCATTGCCTCCCCTAGAAAAAGAAATGGAGAAAGAAGACTGGCACTGATATAATGGCTGATCACACCTCTCAGTGATGCCTCAGTGTGCTTGTCAAACAAGGGTGTGAGTTATAAGGAGAGGCTGGATAGGCTGGGAATATTTTCACTGAGTGTAGGAGGTTGAGAGGTGACCTTATGGAGGTTTATAAAATAATGAGGGGTATAGATAAGGTGAATGGCAAAGGCTTTTCCCTAAGGTGGGGGATTTTGAAACTAGGGGGCATATTTTTAAGCTGAGTGGAGAAAGTTTTAAAAAAGACATGAGGGGCAACTTTTTTTTTTACACAGACAGTGCTTCATGTTTGGAATGAAATTCCAGAGGAAGTGGTGAATGTGGGTACAGTTTCAATGTTTAAAAGACATTTAGATAAACACATGAATAAGAAATGTTTGGTGGGATATGGGCCAAGCGCAGGCAGGTGGGACTAGTTTAATTTGGGATTATGGTCAGCATGCACTGTTTGAATGAAAGGGTTGGTTTCCATGGTGTATGACACTATGACTTGTAAGAGATTACTATTTGTTAGATCTTTATTGTGGCAGTAATGTGCCATTTTTGATGCCCAACATGTTTTAACACATATCGCATAGAGCAGTGGAAAACTCCATCCACTTACTGGGGTTATTGTTCTTTGAAAGATATTACAACGTATGATTCTGCTTTACCTGATTCTGCAAAGCAATGTATTGTGTATCCCTGAACATGAGAGATTGACACCAGGAAGGTTGAACTCTTCAAATGCGTTTGCCACTCAGATAAGTCAATTATAACGAGAAGGTTTCTTTGATAATTATGGATAAATAAAATAGTTATTTGACACTGAAAATCAACCTTAAACTTCATGGATAAATTATTTTTGTTCATTCATAGGATTTGCGTGCCTCTGGCCAGATCAAGTATTTCTTTCCCATCCCTGGTGGCCCTTGGGCAGATGGTGGTGAATTGCCTCCTTGTATCACTGCAGTCCATGGCATATTGGTACATCCACAGTGCTGTAAGGAAGGGAGCTCCAAGACATTGACCCAGCAACAATGATGGAATGGCAGTATCGTTACAGGACAGGATGCTGTGTGGCTTGAAGGGGAGCTTGCAAATGGCGGTTGATGTTCCCATGCATCTGCTTCACTTGTTTTTCGAGACAATAGAGGCCACAGGTTTGAAACGTGTTGCCTAAGGAGCCTTGGTGAATTGTTGCAGTGCATTTCAACAGTGACCCTATGTGTTGGTATTGGTGCTGGCGAATATTGAAGGTGTTAAATGAGATGTCAATCAAATTGGATGCTTCTTGAGTTGTGTTGAAGCTAAAATCATCCAGACCTGTGGAGATTATTCCATCACACTCCTGACTTGTGCCTTTTTGGATAGTTGACACAGCTGGGCTTAATGCCACAGTATTTATATGGCTAGCCCAGTTGAGTTTCTGGTCAATAGTAATCCTCAGGCTGTTTATAATGGGGGATTTAATAATGATGATGTACAGGGGATAGGTTCTAAAGCTGGCATCATAGCTGATAGAGAGTTTCTGCTGGGAAATGCTACTCTGAGGGCATGAAGGAGGGCACACCACTTCAGGAACATTCTGAGAGGCCTCCAATGATTTCCTGTGTGCCCATGAGGCAATGGCACTCCCAATGCAGGTTTGCAAAGCTGGCAATCATCAGGCAACTAGTTGGCTTACTTGGCTGCCCACCTTTGGTAAACGGGCAACCACGCCACTGAGATTCCCATTGCTAGCAACATCCCGTGATAGTGAGAAACTGCTCTCCTGCTGCTAATTTATCTGCCCCCTGCCTCCCAGTCCTTACCAAAAGGTGATGAGATCAAGCTCTGAACGTCAGTGTCAATTTGTAGTTTGCCTGACGAAGGGGCAGTGCTTTGAAAGCTTGTGATTTCAAATAAACGTGTTGGACTATAACCGTGTGACTTCTGACCTTGTCCACCCCAGTCCAACAACGGCACCACGGCATCAATTTGTAGTGCTCAGTTTAGTTCTAATGCTTTTACTATTCCTTATTGTCATCTGTAAGTTGTAGGAAGAGAATGCTTTATCTATTGGCTTTCTACAATTCAAATACTTATCTCTGACAGAAAGGGAAGAAGACAGAGAGAGGGGTACAATAGTTGTGTTTATACGACAAGACCAACTATATGCAGGCAAATATATTCTGCCACTTTAGAGTACAAGTTACCATAGGATCAAGTGAACTGAGTTTTAAGCCAGGTAGTTTATGTCTTTAATATATTGTTTTACGCACTGTTTGAT